CACCAGGTGAGGGTTGTTGGCGTGCTTCCCCCCTCGCGGCGCTGGCAGCGGGTACTGCAAGGGAGAAGCAGTATTAAAATCACTTCAGGGGCAGCCTGTCACCTTCAGGGACTCAATGGTGACTACAGGCCTGTAGAGAAGAGCCGAGCAAACGAAGCTCAAAAGTCATGGGGCTAAGTCTGACATCCGGACGATGGTCACTGCTCCACTTTCATTCCCATCAGCCGATGTTTCCCTCCAAACCCCCAGCCACAGGCCAGGCTCTTGTCCCAGCACCCAGCATGTCTTGTACAGACACTCACCCGGAGCCCTCGGGGGTTCAGCACCTTGGGGTTGCGGGAGAAGTGCATGTGGAGGCTCCCATCATCACTGACACTCACTGCGACCTTCTTCAGGGTCTTGTTACCACAGTGGGGACAGAAAACCTTAGTCATGTCCGAAGTCGTCCTGCAAGACAGGAACAGGGGGGGTTTAGTGCTCCCCAGGCAATGGAATACGGGATCATCCACCCATCCCTGACCAGCTGTAACAACAGGACAAGGGGTGACTGATAGGTTTAAACTGAAATAGGGGAAGTTCAGGTTAGCTATAAGGAAGGAATCCTCTACTGAAAGGGTGGCAAGGCCCTGGCAAAGGTTGCCCAGAAGCTGTGGCTGCCCCATCCCTGGCAGTGTTCAAGGCCGGGTTGGACACAGGGGCTTGGAGCAACCTGCTCTAGTGGAAGGTGTCCCTGCCCGTGGCAGGGGGTTGGAACTGGGTGATCTCAAGGTCCTTTCCAACCTTAACTATTCTACGAGTCCATGATTCTAAGCGCTGTGCTGAGGGCAGCTCTGTGCATCCGCAATCACCTGAAGCAGCCGTGGCAGCGCAGGATGTAGCTCCTGGCCTGTCGGATCAACATGCCATTTACTGCCAGCACGTGGAGGCCCATCTGCAGCAGCACGTTCTGCAACAAGGAAGGAGAAACCAGGAACCCGTGAGATGGGACTGCCAGAAGCTTTCACCAGGATCTGCCAGCCCAGGCAAGAGAGAGGCCAATGGGAGCGACGCCAACAGGCTTTGTACAGGGCCCTCTGCACAGAAAGAATGGGCTGGTTTTAAGGTAAAAAAGGCTGTCACAAAGCTGTGCTCAACCCATCCGGGAGCTCCTCTGTCTCCGTGTGCTGGTTCAACCAGCCCAGAGGTTTGAGTAGTCTGAGAATCCACCAGCCCCCCGCGTGCCTGAGGCTGGAGTCGTCCTGCGCAAGACAGTGACCAGCACCCACCTGCATCGCAAAGTCTGTGGTGACGCAGCCGACCTGGATGCCATCAGGAGCAGTATCACAGTGCCCCGTGTCCTGCTGGACCTGCTTGAGGTTGCTGGGTGTTATCCAGCCCTCATCGTCGCTCTCCTCCTCGTCCTCCTCTTCACCAGCACTGGCATCACGCTCAGAGCTCTGGCGCTCCTCAGTGGTCTCTGGGCTAACGGAGATGGCTTGAGCGTTCTGGGGTGGAGGAGACAGTCAGTGATGGCACACACAGGGAAGGAGGTGGGAAAAGCCAGCCAGACACCAGGGTGGCACAGCCAGCAAGGAGAGGAGGCACCAGGTCTCACCAGCAGCTCCTGCAGCTCCTCCTCGATGTTGGGCAGGGGCGCTCGCCAGTACAGGAAGGAGCTGAACTGGTCGCTCTCAGATGGGGCTGTGCTCCCTGCCGGGCTTGGCTGGTGCTGGCCCTTCCCGGGATGCTTGTGCTGTGCAGGGACACAGGACAGGGGGTCCCTTGCCCACTTGCTGACTGGGGGCTCTGCAGGGCTGTACCCCCATCCCCAGCACCTTACCTTGGAGCACCACGGCCCCGTCCCTTACCTTGGAGGGCAGGTGGAAGCCAGCGAGGTGTGTGGGGGCCTCGGGGTGCCGCGGGGTGGAGCTGAGCCGCACCTGGGGAGGGAGCAGGGGGCTGGGGGCGCACTCCGGGAATGGGGCCACATCCCTGGGGAGGGGGGACATGGACCCACCTTGTCCTGCGGC